ATAATATCGAAAGCAAATCGATTTTTGATTGAGTTCATTAGAAATCTTGTCTTACGCACTGGCGCCCCATACTGCTTTTATTACATTTCCTACTTTTCCAACATTTTTACTAAGCGGACTTTACTAACAAAAATTAAGTGAAATACTGAAATAATGCGCTGATATTATCGCTCAAATAAAAGTTTTGCGAATCTAACATAAGGTAATGCATCCCTTGGGCATAGGAAAAATACCATAGGTAGTTGGAGTGTATTAAGAGCTCTCTCGCCGTGGAGTTATGTGTAGACAATTATTTTCTTGCTTCTCTGGTACGTAACTGACATGGAAAAATAATATTTGTTGTTAGTATAAATCGTATTGAGCGATTTGTTTTCGTTTCAATACTAATTTTTGCCATTGCACTGATTGGAAGTATACTTCTTGTAGATTTCTGTACATCCATCACACGAATTGGTGTTAGCTTCATAGATTGGTGGCGGCTATTTTATTCAAAGAAACTAACTAGAATGAATGAAGTAAGCCATTCCAATTATTATCTATCAGATTGCAGACATTTGATTAAGTTGTGTGTATCGGCTTAAGCGAACTTTTCCTCCGTACTTCGAAAAGTGAGTTTCTGTTGATGTTTTATTAAGTAGAAGATTTTAATTGATTTTCATGGCGAATGCTGGAAATATTTAGCAAATCTGCCTGCCTGTTGCTCTGTGTCCATCAGACATAAATCGTATAAGTCAAGTGCATTACAAATATCATGAAAAAGTTCATACGGTATTTAGAGATTCTTTTTGTGCACTAAATTAATCAAAGGACCTTTCAAGCCTTAAGTCGAAATATTTGTTTAATTCAACTCACAATAAAAAAATGAAGACATGAACAGAATTGTAAATGAATTAGAATTGTTGGTATTAATTAAATACGTTATGTAGCTCTTGTATTTACCAACAAATATAAAATTTTAAATTTTATATTAAGATTAAATAGTCAAAGCTACACCATCAACCTAGGGTAAATAGCTGGATGTTATTCTTACTATAAAACTGAACAATATTTTATTCTCTCCAAAAAGTTTTTTGAAGCGCTACGAAGTAATCACCTAATTGCATATACTTTATCACTATCACTTCCCACAGTCTCAAAAAAATAAAGATTTTAGGTGTAAAATATTATTAAGCAATATATGTATATATAAAGCATATATAAGAACAATAAACACTAAAGATATTTTTATAAATATATTTTTATGCAAAACAATAGAAAACTCTCATCTGGAATTATAATTTAATTATTTTAAAAATATTCACTACATATACCATATGATTATAAATAATTTATTATTTAAACTGAATTTATTTCAGTTTATTATAGTGAAAAAGTGAAAAACATAGTGAAAAAGTGAAAAACATAATGAAAAAGCTATTTTTCATTAATATTATTTTATAATTCTCAATGAGTTCATGTTATGCTGACTATAAAGATACTATGTTATTAATAGCATTCATTCTTATTTTAATAAATTCGTAGAAATATTTGTGTTTCACATTTAAATGGCTTTTCGCCTGTGGAAAGTTGATATACAGTTTTCATTTGCTTAAAATTTTTTTACATAAATTATGCTGCATATAATTATTTGAGTAGAAGAATTGTAATTTTAATAAATATTTGGATGCGTAAGCTATTTGTATGATTTTTTTTTTAAGATGTAAATTGAAATCTTAATACAAATTCAAATATAATTCTCATTAGCTTCAAATTGTTTTTTAATAAAAATAGTGTATTACTGATCAGTTTGAGCAATTGTGATTTTAATAAATAATTGAATACCATTAGCGATTCGAATGGTTTTTCACCTATGTGTTTTAAGGAACCAACTAAATTGATGTATAGTTTTTATGTGTTTAAAATTGTTTTTGATAGTAAAGTACTAAATTCCAAGCAATCTCGATTTTAATAAATATATGAGTGCTTAATATTTGGATGTGTAAGCGATTAGTGTGTTGTTTTTACAATGTAAATTCAAATTTTAATACAAATTCAAATATAATTCTCATTAGCTTCAAATTGTTTTTTAATAAAAGTAGTGTGTTACTGATCAGCTTAAGCAATTCTGATTTTAATAAATAATTGAGTACCATAAGCGATTCGAATGGTTTTTCACCTATGTGTTTTAAGGAACTAATTAAATTGATATATAGTTTTTGTATTTGAAATTGTTTTTGATAGTTTTTTCTTTAGATATAGTTTTTTTTTTTTTGTTCAAATAGGGTGAAATGAGAATTCAACAATATTAAAATATCTTTTATAAAAGCTCACAAATATTTTTTTGTGCAATTTACAGATTATTTCAGGGATTTATACTATTTTTTTATTATAATCGCAGTCTATTTGATTTTAAAATTCATTAAACAAATGTAAAATAATGTTATAACACAACAAAAAAAATAAACAAATGAAATTTCTCATATTTATCTATTAATCAATGCATTGCATTTTCTTAATTAAGCAAAAGCCGGATTTTATTGCCAGTCAAGTCTTTACTTGAGATTTAAATAGTCTCCATATGTGAATAAAAATAGTCTATTTTAATTTTAATACCTTGAAATGAAGGGTTTCTAGTCGTATTCTAGAAAGACTCTTTTGCCTTCAGCGAAATAAGTAACAATTATAAAAAATAATGCCTAGACAATTCTACCGCTCAGGTGGTAGACCCCATGTAGCATTAGCGAACTAAATTTTAACTTGTACCGTCACGGGCTTAAATTTGACGTATATATTTGCCATTCCTTAGTCATAGCTTCCTTTAGAGAGATTAGAACTGTACAGAATTGTTCTCTGAATTATCAGGTCTTGTCAACTATTCTTTGTCTTTAAGTCGGTTTTGTGTTTTAGGATTTTAACTTTTATTTCGATTGTATTATTTTGTATATTGCTATACATATTTCGGCAAAATCGCTTTTGGAGAATTCCTAATATTCTTTCTTTTCGGCAAGCTAACTTCTATTACATACGAATTTACAATATTCTACTTACAAATTTGATATATTAACTTGTTCGTACAACTGGAAATTCAGTTTACTGAATAGACTAAATTTTCACTTTCATTTTTTTTTCGGTGTTCTTCGTATTATGTTAAGCGACCCCAATTTTAGTGTATACTTTTGAGCAGTTAAGCGATCTTAAAATATTGTTAGTAATATTATTTAAAAATTAAAAACATTAACATTGGACGAAAATGTATATGGATAATATTCAAGACCAACTATCAAACCTTTATGAAAACATTGCGTTACAATAATAATACCTTATATTCCAAGTTATGATATGCCTTATATTCCATAATGCCTTATATTCCAAGTCAGATATTTTAAACATTTTTAAAGCAGATAGTGCAGTTAAGCTACAAATGTTTATCCCGTTTTCATTAAATATTGAATTACTCTCGTTATTAAAAGCTTAAGTGAATCAAAACTAAAACATTTGTTTAAAATATGTCTTTTTTACTCTCTACTATTATAATCCACATCACAACCTATCATCATAAATTATAGACTAACAGCAAAAATCAGTTAATACTATTTAAGTAACATTTCTTCTGTTTTCAGTTCAAATACGTAACCTCATAAGGTTTATGGTATTTTCTCATGTTTTTTTTTTTGTTTTTTTTTTTTATTTTAAATAAAATTTAAAAATAAAATTTAAAAATAAAATTTTAAGTTAGTCACAATAAAAGAATTTCAAAAATCCGTAATAAATCTCAACTTTCTAATGGCATCTAAAGTAACCCGCGATCGAATTTATACAACGCGGGTTACAGATAACTCAAGCCATCTATTGGCAAAATAATGGGTTTTTTTTTAATACACCTAATATATTGAGAAACAGCTCGTTGTTATTATTTAAGAATAATATGGATAACGGCTTTCTAGACATAGTAATATTTAAGAGAATGAACTAGCAGATGAGATAGCTAGTATATTTCAGAAATGGTTATAAGTAAAACCGACACCTAAATACTAATCCTGATTTATGAACTGTTTAAGAACATAAACAAAATCACCATTGAACTTATGAAGAACTTGTAGATAAATAGCGGCTTCGAGTGTGTGGTTGCAAGGACGTGTCTAAGTAGAACCTCGGAAGAAATGGGTGGATGAACAGTTCTCTGCTGACCTGCCAGAGTAAACGAGTGTGGACTTATCGGGTGCTCCTAACTATATGTGAAATACCAAATTGTATAACAATAATATGGCATGCATTAGTTGGTATAGCTCACCATTTTCTAAAAACTCTAAGAACATTATGTTGAGCAAACGTTATCTGAGAGTATATAGGTTGATGTTCGCATAAGCATGCGCATTTTAAATATATTATGCGTATAACCGAGCTCATCGCTTCTTTCTATTATGTTGCTGAAATTGACAATAGAGTTGTGAAAGAGAGATTGTATAGATAGATCACTGATTCGCTTAGGCGGATCATCAACTTTTATGTATGATGACATAAAACTGGCGTTTTGAATATGC